AATCCACAAGATGGTGATCAATGACAGAAGATCAACAGTCAGGCACATAGCTGAAACAGTGGGCCTCAGCACTGGGTCTGTTCACACCATCCTCAGTGAAGACTTGGGGCATAAGAAAGTGCTGTGGAAAGTTGAATCAAGGAGTGGTGCTTCTCCAGGCCAGTGCATCACCCCACAGCACTGTGACCACAGCAACCAAATGCGGCTTTCAGCTGCTTTCCCAGATTTGGCTCTCTCAGACTGCTACCTGTTCCCTAAGTTGAAGGAAGACCTTTGTGGGAAGAGTTTCAATGATGATAATGAAGTGATCGTAGCAGTTGCACATACAGGACAACGACTTCTACAAGATGGTCACAGCCAAGCTGAAGCTGCACTGGACCAACAACACTGATGTCAAGGGGGACTATATTTAAAAAAATAAACAAACAATTGAATGAAAATTATGTTTTTTTTTCTTTGTCAGGAGAGAACCTTTCTGAAATACAGCAATCAGTTACTTCATTAGCTCAAGTGACAGGTCAAAGCAGTGGATCTAAAGATTACAACCCTTCACACAAACTATGTTGGTATCAATATGATACTACATGATGGAAGGTTTTTCAGAGTTTGCCTTTTTTAAAACCTAGGAAGTTATGCACAAAGAAAGCTGTAAAAAGAACATTATTAAAGTTGCAAAGTCAAACACTCCAAAGTTAGAAAATGCCAGAATTAAGGTGACCCAGGCAACCTTAATTTGGTTCCCTTGTGGATATGCATTCTGATACAGTCATTAACTACATGATCACATAATTTTTCCAGAGGCCCCTTGCCTACTTCAGTACATAGTATGGATCTGATATAGAGATGAATCACAGTTAGATAGTGAAGAATGCTGTTGTCTGTGTAGGATTACTGCCTCATTTGTAGCAGATGTTGGAAGGTGTGTAGTGATTGAGGCAAGAGATTGCAGGAAGAACAAGGATGGTCTCATTCCCTAGAGAACTGGATTCTATCCCTGCCTCTGCTACAGAATCCCTTTGTGATTCTGGTCAAATCCCTGTAGCCCAACTTTTCACAGGTAGTCACTAATTGTGTATTCCTTGTTTTGTGAGTGTCTGACTTGGGGTCTGATGTGCAGAAGTGCTGATCACTCACAATTGAAGTCATTGGGAGCTGTGCTTTGAACATATAAAATGCAATACAATTCTAAGATCCTAGGTGTGTCAAATAAGGCACCCAAAATTCAGGTACTTTTGACCTTAATCATTCTTTGCCTCAGTACCCCATCTGTAAAATGGAGATAACACCCTTTGTGTGACAGGGGTATTCTGAAAATAAATACATTAATATGCGTAAAACACTCATATATTATAGTGATGAGTGCCATATGAAAGCCCATCAGGAAATTAATAATCCTGTCTTCAGAGCAAATAGTATAGTGTACAGACAATAGGGCATTGTGTCACACATCGAACACTGAGAATCATGGGTGGCAAGTCCTATGGGCCCGTGGTGCCTGGGCACCAGGAATATTCCTGGCCCAGGGCCCAGTTCCTGCAATGGCTGAGGCCGGGTCTCTCCCTCGGCACCATTATTCTGTGAACTGCCAAAAAAGTATTGATCATGTAATTAAAGACTATCATAATGCATATACACAATGGGTGGGGGAGCAAATTAAGGGTGGACAGGAAGCCTTAATTCTGGCATTCCTTAACTTTTGAATGGTTGGCTTTGCAACCTTCATGATGTGTTTTAGTGTATTTTTGTCTTTGTGTTAACATCGAAGTAAATAATATAGGTGTTTATCTTTTGCTTAGTAACAATGGTAACTCATTTAATGAGCCCTGATAAACTTGGACATTCCTTTCAGCCCTACTGACGCAGAGTAAGGTCCCAATTTCCCCAGCTGTAGAATAGGGCTGGTAATGTTTGTAAAATGCTTTATGATCCATGGATGAACTGTCCATATAAATACTGTTACCTGATGAATACTAGGTAAAAACCCATTCCAAATATATTTCAGTAGGTGCAGTCCCATAACTGTTGTAACCACCCATTGATATTGTGAAAACAGCTGCAGGACCATTTCAACTATTGCTGAGAGCAGTTTAAATATTAAGGCATACCACAAGACAAGATCTATATATAAAATACAAGGACATTGACCAGAGGATGGTTCTAGTCAAATCAGGACTTGTGAAGTCTGACAGAAAACACATAGATCAACATGACTGTTTGCATTATAAAATCAGCTGCAGTATCTATTTTTCAAAAGACAACCAACCCTTACACACATGTATGGTAGCGGATTTTGCAAGATTTGCACTTATGTATCTGAGATTGGAATTAGGTCCATAATGTGCTTTGATCAGCTATAGTAAAATACACAAACATTTTTAACTGTGCAAATTTCTCCTTATGGGGTGGGAGAAGATGCAGCCCTACATACTCTGAAAATTCAGCTATGGCATGTGCACTTAAACATACAGTAAATTGTTCAGGATACCTGGCGATACACACTTACATAGGTGAGATCAGAACTGAGCTGTGAGCTACAAACAGTAAACATTTATTTACTGGAAAGCAACAAAAAAGCATATGGTCCAACTGTTCTTTGAAGCCTGAATACACCCATGAAGAATGTGCAGCATAAATTTAACACTTAATCAGATATCAGGAACAATTATGTGCTTAAAACACCACTGAACAAGGGGCACTATGAAAGTACTGGTGTGAGCAGTTAACAATGATAAAACGTTTCATACTTTATCATTTCCTTGTAAATGTGATTTAGAGGAAGGGGGTCATGGCCAGTCTGAGACTGGACTAATGAATCCATCAAGGAAGCTGATACAAGAGAGGAATAGAAAATTGAAAGTGCAAGTTGAGCACCAGAATCAGATTTTTATGATACTCTGTTTTAATGGAGATTTATTTAGTATTGAAATAAGCCCGCTGACTTTCAGCTAAAGACTAGAAGAGAATCATATATATTTTTCTAAGTCTGAAAGCAAGCTAGTCATTCATATGATAAATCACAAAAGATTAAGTTGGCTTTAGTTTATAGTAAGTGTTCCTTTTCCTGGAGGCAGGGCAGATGAGTTAGAATGAGTTCAGACTGAGAGGGAATCTGCTTTTTGTGGTGATGCAGTGGTAATGATAAGTGGATAAACTTGAAGGCAATGATGATGAATCTTCCATATGTGGTTTTATCACATCATTTAAATGACCAAAAGTAATTCTTTTTTGCTCTCTGTAATTTGACTACATGGAAACATAGGATTATTAATGAAAGAGAATCAGATTTCACCTTGGAGAACTTCATCATTAAGGGAAAAATACGGTTATTTGGTAAGGATCTATAGTGCTTGGTGCTCTACAAGACACAAAAGAAAACACAGTCCCAAAGAGTTTACAATTGAAAGCCCTACTCCAGCAAGAAATATATGGACTCCAGTTCCCGCAATCCACTTTTCGTGAGCTGGAGTCTTACACCTGTGTGGATCAGATTGCAGGATCATGGCCAATACAGACAACTTTGAAGCCATTAAGCCTCCATCTATTTAGATCAATTAGAGCACTTGAATTCTCAGAAAAATACTTTGTAGGCTCTGTGGTAATCTGTATACAAACAAAATTTTTTTTATGCTAGTGTGTAGGAGCATATCTCAACCCAGGCACACACAGCCTACTCCAAACTACACACCAGTAACACCCAGTAATAATCTGAATTGAGAAACTAGTCTCCCTCGTTCAGTTTCTGACATTTTTCGTTTTATTGTGAACAACCTTCCTTCCAAATAAAGCATATTCTACATGTCTTACACGCCTCATATTTCACAAACTGTCCTAGTGATGAATTAATCTAAACGATATTACACAAGTCAGAACCATGATCATAGACTTAAGAACAAAATACGATATCTATATTTGTTTAAAGAAAAGGAGTACTTGTGGCATCTTAGAGACTAACAAATTTATTTGAGCGCATCTGATGAAGTGAGCTGTAGCTCACGAAAGCTTATGCTCAAATAAATTTGTTAGTCTCGAAGGTGCCACAAGTACTCCTTTTCTTTTTGCGGATACAGACTAACAGGGCTGCTACTCTGAAACCTATATTTGTTTAGTAATTAGACTGCCAGACGTATTTTTCTATGCTGTTCCTATTGTCATATAAACAATAACTTCAACTGTCAATGTTATAAATTGAAGGGGGTCAGTTCAATGGAGTTCAGAAGCAAACTGGGGGGATCCATTCTACAAGTTGGCCCAGTAAGTGAGCTTATCAGTTGTTGATCAGAAGAAGGAATCAGTTAAACCACTTCTGGAAGGCCACTAATTGTGGTCTCCTGGGTGAAGAAAAACTTGCTGTGCTGGTAGAGCCTGGAGGTGACAAACACTGAACTTTTGCTTGAATTTTGGCCGGTGTAGCCCTCTGGGCAACTAGTGGCTACAAACTAAGGGATGGGTCCATGCTCTCCTTGCTTGGTAGTTAAAAGAATCCTGAAAGGCCAGTGGATGGAGGCCTACTTTTAACGGTAATTCACTCTTACATTTTATCAGACAATTTCCAGAACCTGAAACTTCCTTCTTTGCCAACAATTGTTTCCTGCCAGATTGTGCAGCACACGCACCGGTTGCTGATTACAGCCTAGTCTCCCCTGCTGCATACGGGAGTTTTCCACACCCCCTGCCACGAACAAAGAAGCGAGTCATTCCAGCAACCAGCCTCCCATTGCAAACGCGCCCATTGGTTTGCAAAGGTAGCTGGGGAGGAAGGCGCACGTGTTGCTCCGACTCTCCCTCGCGCCGTGGCCGTCCCTGCCCCAGGCGCCCCTTTACTGCGGGCCCAGCTGCGACTGAGGAGGAGGAGCGCGCGCGCTCCCCCAGCCCGGCCCCGGGGAAAGCCTCCAACCCCAAGAACTGAACAGCCGAGTCACCCCTCCCCCCGGCTCGCGCGTCAAACGCCGGGCGTCACGGTCCCATTGTAATGTATCAAAAAAGCGCGCAGCCCCCTAATCGCATAAGCCTCCCGCACGGGCGCCAGCCCCGCCGCCCACGGAACCTGGAGGGGGCTCCCCGGGCGGCAGGAGCAGCTCCCTGGCGCTGCCCCGCGGTCCTCGCGCGCTGGCCGGGCTGCAGCCGCCGGCGCCCGCCTGAGCTAGCGGAACTGCCCGCGCCGGGGGTAGCCGCGTAACTCCGCGCCGCGGAGGCAGCGGGCGCTGCAGCCCGACCCCCCTCTGATCTCGCGCGGCGCCCGGCCGGCCGGCCGGCGTTCCCTTGCCTGGGGGGAGCTCGGGGCTGCGGCGGGAGCCGGTGCGAGTCTATTAGCAGGCGCGTGGTAATGATGGCGGCGCTCAGTGAGACTTTCCCTGTCGCTGGATACTACTCCCGGCCCCTGCCCGCCGCCGCGGCAGCCCCGCTCCGAGCCCGCCCTTTGCAGCAGCGCCGCCGGGCAGGGGCCAAAGGCGCGCGTGGGGCGGCCGGCGCGGCGCGGCGCGTGGGGGCGCCGCGCAGCATGGGGCTGCTGGAGCGGACGCGGAAAGAATGGTTCATTCTGGGGATCGTGCTGGTGATCGCCGTGGCGAAGCTGGAGCCCGCCGTTGGGGTGAAAGGGGGTAAGTCCGATCCCGGGCCGCGCCGGCTGCCGCCAGGGGCTCGCCAAGCCAGCGAGAGAGAGGTGGGGGGCGGTGGGGGGCATTGAACAGGTGCCGGCCGTGCCCTACGCGGCGCCCCTCGCCGAGCCCCCTCTCGGCTCGTTCGCAGGCAGGCAAGCGAGGGGCTGAACCCGAGCGGGTGGGGGCAGCGTCCCCTGCCGTAGATCACAAGTTTTGGGGGGAAGCAGACCAACGCCGGGGTTACTTTCAGGGCACAGCATCCTGTCGCCCCAGGAATGGAGCGTTACTCCGCCAAGCGTGGCCGTTGCTTCCAGTAACTGGGCAAAATCCCCTGCCCCCCCACCCCCGTGGGGCGTTGGGCTGCGCAGGCCATGGGCCGCGGAGCCCCTGCACAGGGCTCCCTTGCGGCTCCAGGGCCCACGCTGACACGTTGCACTGAGACCCGGGCGCGACTTCCGTGTGCCGGGACTGAATGGCGGTACAGTGCTAGCTACCAGCCCAACCTTGCTCAGTCGGGAAGGGTGGATTTTTCTGCAGCTGTCCAACTTGAAGAGGAGGGTGGTTTTTTTGAGTGAGGTTTGTAAGTGTCTCATTGAAATATACACCGAAAGAATCCCTGATCACAAGAGAGAGGAGACACTTTAAAATGACCTAAAATGAGTCCAAAATTAAGGAACCTCCTTCCAAATGAGTGACACTAATACTGGACAAATAACATTTAATCACACTCAAGTTTTAAGCGATGGCAAATCGTATTATATAAGGGATATGTTTCAAATGTGGGGAATTCAGTCTTGCTAGTCCCAATTTTCTTCCTGACTTTTTTTAAAGTTGTGTATAGTGTAAGGTGTTTTGTATGTAATACACAGACTGTTTCTGTATCTGCTGGAGTCAGGCCTATGTAAATCCAGGATTTCTCTGTAAATAGCTTGTCTCCAGCAATGCAGAAGTTGGGTGGATTCAGTGTAGAATCAAGCTCTCTATGAACTTTGAGATCATTGACTTGTGTAGAGGATTCAGTTTCTCCATGACCGTCAATAATGTATCTTTCATATGCGAGAGGAGACAGGATCTCCTCTTTTGGAGTAGAGCGTAAAGGCCTGCCTGCTTGCTACTGCAATTTTAGTCATGTCAGATTAGTACTACTAAAAGTATGAAATAAAAAGGAAAGAGATAATTTTAAAATAAGATACACTAGTTGAGTTTAGATAGTAGCGTGGTCAGAACTCCATTAGTAATGTTTTGTTTTCAGCATTCCCACATGAGGCATGGTTCCTACCCCAAAAGGGTATTTGTCATTTTTATAAGAGTGAAAAATGTTAATTCCTTTGAAAGAGTGTACAAACATAGGCTTTTGATTCAGTGGGGTTCCTTGGAGGTGCCGGGGTCTGCCCATGCAGATCTAACTGCTGGATTGGGACCTTAGTGTGTTTAGAAATCATATACAGCTGGAGGTGTACTACACGGCCCCAGGGAGCCCTGTGTAGGGGTGCAGCTTGCTTTCCACTGTGCAGCCAGCCAACCTGTCAACCTGCTGGCTGGTACATGTTGCAATTCTGACTGGCCCATATGTGTGCAGCCCAGAGGTGGGAGAAGGCTCCTTATTTGCCACTTACCACTTACTATTTCCGCATTAAGGCAAGGCAGAATCTGCCCCAGCGTAACCAACAGGTATTGTATACATAGGCATACTTTTCATTGCATCATGCCTTTCATTGCTATCTCTCTCCGTTAATTAGTCTTGTTTGTTTTTGTTTTAAAATAAGAATGACATTCACTTAAATAGCAAAACTTAGTCTTTTAAACAGACTTTAAAGTTAATGATCAAAGTACTCCAAATATTTCTCTACATTCTGAAATATTTAATTACTTTGGTATATTATAACTTTTTATAGTGTTATTTCCTTAAGTGGTTCACTTTGTTTCTGTGGTTTTGTTTTTTTTAGGACCACTGAAGCCAGAAATTACCATAACATATATTGCTGTTTCAGCTATATTCTTTAACAGTGGACTCTCATTAAAAACTGAGGTACTGTAAATAAGTTCTCTTTGGTTCTTTCTTATTTTATTTTAGAAGTTTGGGCTGATCTTGAACAGGCCTGAATGTAGTTAGGCACATCAAATTACTGACTCTTTTTTGTTGGTAGATAACTAATGGAACCATGTGAAAGTTACATGTGTACATAACTAGTTTGTGTGTTTTTAAAAAAATTACACAGCGCCGGAAGGAGAGAGGAGCAGGACATACTGAGTGAAATTCACTCACCTGTGGAGGGTCTGCACAAGACACTTTATTGTTGCAGAAATCCCACAGTCAATCTCTAGTGAGATTGAGAGGATGTAAATGTAGCCTCCATGCCTCTATGAACTACAGAGAAGGCTTAGCATTATCCCCAAATGAGGCTGACTGAGCAAGTAGCTACAGGATCCATGCTTATGATGATCCAGTGGCTTCAAACTGCTGCAGAGGTGGATGCCTAAGGGGTAGCAGTTGCTACAGCAGTTTATTGCCTGGAATAATGGTCCCAGAAGAGTTTCTCTGCAGCTCCATGGCTTGGGAACAGTTTACTAGAAGATTCTCATATATTCAGTTGTGCTTGGTGGAATGCTGAACTTCAAAGGAATATTGCTGCATTTGTGCTTTGACTCTGCTGCCTCACTCAGTAGTGCTTCAGGGGTGCCTGAGCCTGTTTCAATTCTTATTCCCATTTTACTTTAAAAAAAGAAAAATTGGTGGGGGGAAAAAAGTCTCAAGTAGCTTAAGAAATGTTGCCTAGTTGCCTGCAAAACTTTGGTGACTGGGTGAAGGGATGCAGCAGTTTTCTGTCAAATTTGTCTGCCAGCGCATCTCAGGTGACCTTACTTGAAAGAGAACCATTGCACTTCTCTGCCTGTGCTGCCTCTCTGTTCCTTTTCACTTTGTTGGCTGATTTGATCTGTTACTTAAGAGGATAACTTAAATAGCTCCTAATTCACCTGCTTAAGTAAGTAATTTAGCTAGCTGCAAAGCAATGATGAAATCAGTAATTTGGCTAATACTTTGTACCAGGGTTTGACAAATCTACTTACCTGCTCACCTTTGTTAAGTGGGAAGTTTCTCTTGGCTATTGAGCCAAACTATATTATTGCATTTTGCAGAACTTTAAGCTTTCATATTTTGTTTTAAGTTTCTAAGCTTATGGTTGTGAAGATAACCCTCCAAATGGGAGCCAAGTCTGAATTAATGCCATCCTGAGTCTATAGTCAGATTGTTCCAGCGCCCCTGTTGATTCTCATGGTTTTGCCGGGTTATGGCAGCAGTGAAATTAATCTCTCTGGTTGGTTTCATTGCTGCTATTTCAGAAGCCTGTGGTTATCAGTGAAACTGTCAAGAATCATGTCAGTTTCATCCTTTCACATGGAAAACCAATTAATACTAACAGAAGCTAGCTCTGGAGTTATTCATGGGGAAGAGGACCCAAAAACAGTGGCTGGGAAGTGGTGGTGTAGTTGAGTTCTCTTCTCTCAGCAGGCAGGAATTCCTGAAGTGCAGGGAAGAAATGGAAAGGTCCTTTTTCCTTTCAGTAATTTCAAGTCTTGATGCTTCAAATTAATAAAACAGCTGCTAACTAGAAGCTGATGAGAGATGTAGCCCCACACCTTGTCCAGGGACAGTACTGTGGTAGACATGCCAGCAAGTGAGGATGGCAGAAGGGCTTGGCTTTTGTATCTGACTGGTGAGGCACCCCTCCCCACGCAAATCATTTTTTGTATCTACCTTTGTCTAGTAGGTTTAGTGCTTGGCAAGTTAAGTGCCTAATAAACTTTTCAAGCCCAGCTTTGGACTTACATGGCATCTTTTCATCCAAGGACCTCAAAGCAATTTATAAACATGAATAAGGCCATATGTACACTACAAAATTATGTTGACCTAAGTTATGATGGCATACAGCCGCCATGGTAATTAAATCACTTTTGCGGGTCCACACTATACTCGTTTGTGTCATCAGTGAGCATCCTCATCAGGAGACCTTGTACAGATTGTACTGTTAGTGTGGAGCATTGTGGGACAGCTTCTGAAAGCCAGTGACAGGTGATGTAAACAATGCAGTGTCTACAGTGATGCTACGTTGACCTAGCTACGTCAACCATAACTCAATGCTGCTCGCAGAGGTGGCGTTATTAAGCTGGCACAGTGGGGCAGTTATGTCGGCGGGAGCGAAATTTTAATGTAGACTCTTAGGTCTTACTCAATTAGGCTGATGTAAGTTGCCTTGCATCGACCTATCTTCCCATATTTTAATGTTACAGTATTTTGAGTTGCAGTGCAAGTTATTTTCTCTTTTGGTTTTTATCAATTCTTGAGTGTGTGTGTATGTGTATTGGGATCACTTTGTTTTTACATTTGTTAATTTTAATGGAGCATGCATTCAGTATATTCTGTAAAATCATAAGAAACTGTACAAATTTTATGTCATTAATAGACAAAATGTTCACACTTCCAGATTTTTATTTTCATTTATAAACTAAGATATGCTTGCTTTTTTTTTTTAATATTATCCTTCATGGTTCAGTGTTATCAGGAAAACAGAACTCATGCTCAACAATGCTATTGTAGATGTGGATTCAGAAGTTCTTTACAAAGCAGTGGGCAGCTTACTGGTATAGCTCTGTTTATGCACATACAAAAAGCATCTTGGTTGTATTTTCAAAAACATGAATTACCATAAGTAGAGAGAATTTTATATTTGTAGTAATAACTCTGTAGTCATGATACATGAGCAGAATATTTGCCCATACCATCACGCCCATTCAGCTTTCAGTTTATTGGCTGGTTTGGTCTTTGAAAGAGCTCTATTAACTAAGTCCCCACAGACCTAGAATTTGAAATCATATTCCTGAATATCTGGTTAGTGGCTACAGTTGTACAGTGGGGAATCTGACGAGTCATTGAAAAAGGTTTTACTGTGTGTATGTACTGACACACAAAAGGCCATATTGTGCTCACTGTCCTGATTAGAGGGAGGAGTGGAACTGCGCTCCCCTGTGGGAGCTTGGGTGGCACAGAAATGCCCTGAATGTCCTGATATGTTGGGGAGATAGTGTAGCTTTCTCTGTTGGCTTGTGCAGGGAGGGGTGGGGCTATGGTTTGGCAGCTTCCCCTGCCCCTTTGAGGTGTCCTGAGAGAGTAGTCTCTGCATTTTCTCAAGTGCACCGACTGAAATTCTGACAGGCCTTTTTGTGAGATGCACAACAGAGTAAAGGCTCCTTATTCACTCCTTTCCTTTGTATCCATGATATGGACTGTGACAATATGATTCAAAATGTATCCTTTATAAGGGTCTCCTCTTAAAGGTATCCTTTATAAGGGTCTCCTCTTAAAGCAAAGACATTGAAAAACCAATAATTTTGGGGAATATATTTCTTGTAATGCAAATCTCTTCCTCCACTCCCATCTTTTCAAGTCTACAAAGGCCTATCCTATAAGTGTGGCACCACTACATGCACTTCTACAGCAATTTTCATTAAACCTATCTTGGGTTCCTTATAGGGCATTTCCCAAAAGATATAAGATGATACTATTGAAAACTGTATAATACTGTACAGTTCTAAAATCCAGCAATGGGTGGCAATTTCACACTCACCCAGACTGATTATGGGGTGAGTGTGACATTGCCACCCATACACTGTACAAGGGGTCTTGGACTGGCCTAGTGAATGATCTGTGGTGGGACAGAACTTTTCGGACCTGGCAAGAAATAAGACGGAATGTACAAATGGCCAGATAATTCTCTTATTCTAATTATTTGGGATTTTAGTATATGTAATAGTTTTTTTTTTTTTTTTTTTTTTAAAAACCCTTGCTTTTAAAATAGCTATACTTTAATCACCTTCTGTATTCTTTCACCTCATCTGGTCTTTAAAAAAATTCTTTCCTTTGCTGGTGATGAACCCTCTATTCATCTTTGTTCTCCTTGTTGAAGAAAAGATGACGTCGTACTGTGATGAGACTATCTGTAGTGCAGTAGTTGATATGCAATGCTGGTTAAGAAGATGCTATTCTAATGCTTCTTCACAGATTGTATTGCATTGTGATCAGTCTCACATGGATAAAGAGGCCCTTTTTCTTACTGACGATTTTCCATTCTTTAAAAATATTTTCACTTCTTAGAGGTCTTATGTGTTTAAACAAAAAATTAATATATTGTTTCTTTTGTGATAATATTGTCAGTGTATATTATAAATCCCTGTTTTCAGGGCTACGTGACTTCCTGAGAACACCTTGCAAATAAAAAAAAGGGGCAGATTTTTAGATCAAATGTGTTGTGGGTTTTTTTTTAATCAAGTTTGAGGGAAACACTTTTGGTTTGTTAAGAGAAGGCAAAAATACCTGACAAGGTTCCGATGCTGAATCCCTTATATTTCTAAAACTTTTATTTTCTTCAGTGGTGGATAAAGATGCAGTATTTGACCTTAGTGTGGGTCTTAAAGCTTGTTTGTTTGTTTTTTATTTATAAATTGCCTTTTTCTTAAAGGTGGCTAAATTTTAAAATTAAAAATGTCAACAGGCCCTTACTCTTTAAGCTGCTTGAAAAAGAATCCACTGCCAGCTGATACAAATTTACGTTTTAAAAAGTGACTACTATGTATGTGCAATGAACTAGACTTTCTACATTTTTTAAAATGTAGAATCTGACATATCTAACCTAATTAAAGATAGCTGGAGAAACCTAACAAATTAGCTTTCTCATAAGAGTTACATTAGATATCAGTTAAGTAAAGTGACTGAAAAGGACTCCAGTGTTTTTCTGAGGGAGACAGCTAAATAGGTTAGGGTGATCCATTTCCATTCAGATTTATTACATTCAGAAAGAGTTGATCTGACAACAAGAATTTTTCTTTTGTTTGAAAGGAAATGTATATACAAAACTACTAAGAGAATTGTTGCACAACGAGAGTACCAATGCGAAGAGACACATAGTTAAGAGGGAAATATGTAATAATCTTCAATCACCCTTGTGAAGTGCTTTGAGGTTCTCTGATGAAAGGTGCTGTGTAATAACAAAGTCTTATTTATTTTTCCTGCACCCAGCTGAATTTTGCTCCTCACTTCTCTGAATTTTCTTGCTTTTGTTAGTTTGTCATAGCCTCAGCGTTCTTTCTGTGTAGTTCTTCCAAACCTTAATATTACTTGGTACGAATTTGCTGTCGATGGTTCTGGTGTATGTCAGTTTTTAAGCATTTCTGGGATGCTGAACAAATAAAAACTGACGCTGAATTAATTTGCTGTGTGAGTTTTAACTTTTCACTAGAGAAAACATACCTGTGAGTCTTTCTGCAGTGTAAAGGCCCTTTTCTGTTGGCATGCAAGAGACTTACACTCTTGTTGGCTCTATTTAGACTAGAGAAACTTTTAAAACTGTCTCCATATTGATTACATTAGTTCATCTCCCTTGTGGTATTCATAGAATCATAGAATATCAGGGTTGGAAGGGACCTCAGGAGGTCATCTAGACCAACCCGCTGCTCAAAGCAGGACCAATCCCCAATTTCTGCTTCAGATCCCTAAATGGCCCCCTCAAGGATTGAACTCACAACCCTGGGTTTAGCAGGCCAATGCTCAAACCAGTATTAACAGTGGGAGCCTTAGTGTTGACGGGCTGTCAGCTGACACAGTTCTTGGAAGGGTGACAGAGCCAGAGATTTTTCTGCACTAACCTACCATAATGGGAGCTGAGCTGGTGTTAGCAACAGTGAGAAATATTTTGACAAAAGACCCTTTAGTAGGCAGAGCCTTGGTGTGAATGGTTTTGAAGGGGAGAATAGACTTCTAAAAGACTTAGAATGCGTGCATTTTTGTCTTAATGTAAAGGTGACCCTATTTCAAACAGCCCAAATATGAACTTACCTTTGCTGTTATGACTGCAGCTTCCTCTCTTCTTGTTTTGCAGGAGCTGACAAGTGCTTTGATGCATGTGAAACTACATCTTTTTGTCCAGATCTTTACACTTGTGTTCTTCCCAACAGCAATATGGCTTTTTCTTCAAGTGTTATCAGTCACACCTATAAATGAATGGCTTTTAAAAGGGTATGTTTAAACATATTAGAGTGAAATATATTATGGCTACTTATTAAGGGCTGCTGTACCAGTAATATGTGTTTAACAGTGTTATAGTGAAGAGATTTCACTGTGTAGTTTCATGCTTTGACACTTGCTATTGAAGAAGTACACATAAGATTATCCTTTCAGAATTATGGTCTCATGTTTAGAAAGACTTGTCAGCTAATTTCATTTGTAGGGAGCTTGCAACAGATCAGCTTTCTCTTTGACATGCAGTCTGTCGAAGCTGCTATGCTTGATTTCAAGACGTATGGAAAAAAGTGATTGCTGAAGAGAGGCTTAAATCTATGAATACTTTTAAAAAAGCACAATATGTGGCGTATGTGTTACAAGTATTGTGTGTATTTAGCATCACACTGTACACATCCAGATGATTATTCAATATTGGTTCTTCCGCCAAGTGGTGGAAAAAAAATTAGAGTTTTTATGTTGGAACAAATCTCTTATTCTTTGAAATGATGAATTAAGTAGTGGCTGTTTATCATGAGATTAAAAGGCATTGTCTTAAATGAATTTTTCTAATCTTCAAACAAATGTTTATAGATACAAAGTGACACCATAAATGATATGATAATAAACAGTACAAAAAATCCTAAAATAGAGAAGCATCAAAATCAAACTTATATAGCAAGAATCACCAGGCTTTGCTGTGTAAATAAAATATAAAAATAAACTATTGTGTTAGAAATATCCCAGTTGTAAATAGAGAGCAGTGCTGTTCCATCCACTGGAAAGAAACCCCATTGTTCCAATAGTGTGGTGTTGCTTCAGAACAATCCTCCGTGTAAATATCTTAGTTGTAAAGCTGCACATGTGTGTATGTCCTTAAAATAGAGCTGTTTTTGCTGTTTGTTTCAGTATTTCTCCAGACTGTTCTGTTTTTCTAAGTATAAAGTGGTGCACAGATTACAAGTGACGTTGAATTTGAGACAACAAAAACATCATTTAGGAAATGTTAGCGCTGTTCCTCATAATGGTGTCAATAGATCAGTTGGAGTAGAAGCATGCCAGTGTATCAGAATTAATTTAGACTTGGTGAAGCATAAAAACAGTTACAGTGAATATGAGTGCAAAGGTTTTGCACCAGCAAGACCAGTGACAGGCTTTCTCATCGTCATAGCCTGTCAAAATTCAGTCCTAACACAGAACAGTCTCATTTGCTAGACTGCAAAGTGCAAGGAGTTTTGATTCCTCTCTTCCCACTCTCTGCATTACCATCCCCATTCCCCTCTTCCTTTTGATGACATTTTTCATGCCGATCTAGTCCTTAAGGGATGCATTCTTATCTTAATACACAGGGGTATATACATGCAACTTCCTAAACGCTGTTTTTCTCTCAAATTTGCATTTACGGCCATTTTTACACAGGGATCTAATGAACAAATATGCTTTTTGTGATGCTTATAAATGCTTTTAGAGAGCCACTATCAACTTGCCAGACTGTTTGTTTATATATATATTTTTATATATATATATATATATTGCCTCTTAAAAATAAATAAATAAAAATTTAGAGCTGATCCCGCAAAAACACCAAATGCTTTTAACTCCAACTGGCATTATTAGGCGTTGAGGGCACTCACCACCTCAAAGGAGGTACTCCAAACCTGGCATGACTGGATCCATATAACGCTCCTTTCCATCATCTGCCGTTTCCTTCTCTAACAATGGTAACTGTGACTGAATTGATCATCCTTTATCCATTCCTTCTCATTTATATTTTTTCTCATGTTTCTAAGCATTCACTAACAGCAAATCTATTCTGTAATATAGTTTCTTTCTGTGCTGGCTTATAAAGTGATATTAACACCAAAGGTGTATTGATACTACATCTCTGAGTGTGAGCTAACACTTTAAAATTCATAGTAGTTAATGTCTAGAGATGGCCTTGAACCAGAACAGTGGGTCAGAAACACAAATACTGGAAAGTTTAAGTTGGGCCCATTATCAGTTAAGAGCCTTAGCTGGTTTTGTTGCCCTTACCAGCCTCAAGTCCTAATGGGCGGAGTCTGAACTCTTGTTGCATATCTTGTAAAACCAGAGGCACTACTTGTGTAAGCTTAGCGATTGTGAATAGAAGATGCCCTGCAAGATTAGGGTATTGTGATCTTACTGATGTAATGCCTGCAACATTGCATATGTAATATAAAACTTATTTAAGCCATAGTAGCTACCATTGTCCTGATACGTGAACTCAAGATCCCTTACTTTCAAAAGACACACTGTCAAGTATTTAGGCCTAAAACTTAACCTCCTAAATTTATAGTAATCTGCTGTGGCATGTTCTCATATTAAATATATAATTAAAATAATCAATGATTAATTTTTGTACATTTTACTATTTTTGTGGGATGTACTTAAAACAAACAAAAAGCTTACCTGCTATTTTTCTCTTGTGCTCACTCTGCAGTAGCATTCACAATATACTATACACATTACTAAAGCATCATTGATGCACAAACGAGGACGTGAGCATCACAGCTATTTTAGTTTCTGCGTCCCTAAAAATTAGGGGGAAAAGCAATTGATGTTTGACTAATAGATGTAGAAAAAACCAGTAAGGAAGAAAATGTTTATCTTCAGTCTTCTGAGAGTTTTAAGAGAGAGTGAAAATACATATGAAGATGAAACACTTGACAACTTCTCTAAACATACAATAAATAAACATTTTAGTGGTGTTTTTAAAATATGTTTTAACTAAAAGTAGAAGAGGACAATGTGAACCTAAAATAATGAACCTACATCTTCTCCCTTTGCCACCTTCTTAATGGTCCATGTTTTTAGAACATGGTATCTTCTATAGAAAAATAAATGCATACGTCTTATGTTGCATATTTTCCATTACAGATGTGGTGTTTCAAAGCACTTTACACACATAAATAAATCAAGACTCAATTTTGTGAATTGTAAGCGTTATAATCTCCATGGTACAGATGGGGAAACAGAGTCACTAAGAGGTTAACTGATTTATTCAGGATCACAGAGCAGGGATGATCACAGTGCCATGGATGATAACAGAACACATAAAAGTCTTGCTTCCTAGTGCTGTGCTCTAACCACTAGACAGTTGAGCTTGTGATAAATAATCATTTTTGTTCAGCTTTGATGGTTGTTCAGTGCTAGTGTCTTGCAGTGAATATTGCATTTCCTTTTTTGTGTTTAGTTTGCAGACAGTAGGCTGTATGCCGCCTCCTGTGTCTTCTGCAGTGATTTTAACCAAAGCTGTTGGTGGAAATGAGGTGAGTTTTTATTTTATTCACAATTGATTTTATTTGTTGTTGATTTATACAAAGAACTTTTGTGTAATCAAAGTCATGTGCTAAAATGTACAGCCTGGTGAAATAGAGCTTTTCATATTATTACAGTTTATGAAGACTCTCAAACTTAAAGCATGGATATGAAAAAAGGCAAATTTAAATTTATCATGTAAACTGGGGTTCTCAAAGTGGGGGGGTTGGGACCCCTCGGGGGTTCATGAGGTTATTACATGGGGGGTTGCGAGCTATCAGCCTTCACCCTAAACCCCGCTTTGCATCCAGCATTTAAAATGATGTTAAATATATAAAAAAGTGTTTTTAATTTATAAGGGGGGCACACTCAGAGGATTGCTATTTGAAAGGCGTCACCAGTACAGAAGTTTGAGAACCACTGGTGTAACATCCTGACAAACTCCTGTGGCTACTGAGCCCACTGTTGCTACAAAGTAATATAATCACATCCATCTCTATTATGGTTTATTTCTCCTTCCCCGACCAGTTTGTGTATTTATTCACCTGTTGTATATTGTCTGAATCTTAGATAGTGAGTTCCCTGGGGCAGGGACAGTCTCTATGGTGGTTGTTTGTACAGTGCTTAGTATTATGAGGCCCAACCCTCTTTAGGATCCTGAGGCAATACAAATAATTATTACACACAAAAAGCTACATTTAAAAGACCCTTCAAGGGTTGTAAAGTCAAGTGCTCAGAAAGTTAGGAAATGCCAGAATAAGCAACAGACAACTTTAATTAAATCCCCTTGTGCGTATGCAGTATGATGCAGTCTTTAATTACATGCTCATGTACTGTTTTTTTGCCCAGGATCCCTACCTTATTTAGTGCACATGATGGACAATGCTCACTGAATGGATAGCTGTTCATTACTTTTTTCTCTCCTCATTTACTGCACACTATTCAAACCCTGCTCTGAAGTCAGAATTATTAATTTCCTCTTTGGCTTTTCTGTTGTACTTATTGCTATAGTATCTGAGTACTTCAAAATATTCATGTTTGTTTTCATTGCACACCAGTGAGATTTGGAGGGGGAGGGTATTATCCCCATTTCACAGATGGGGGAATTGAGGCCCAGATGTTTACAGGAGTCTGTCTCATTTTTCAAAGGGATTTAGGCACTTATGAGTCTAAATACCACAGATAGTGTATGGGTTTAGACTCCTAAGTGCCTAAGTCCCTTTTGAAGATGAGACATAGGCTCTTAAATCAGTTAGGCATTGTGCTGCTGAGTAAAGCAATGCCTGAATAGCTTTAAAAATCAGGACAAGAGAGATTAAGGGTAGGTCTACACGACCCACTGGATTGGTGGGTAGCGATCGATATATTGGGGTCGATCACGATAAATCGATCCCCGAGTGTTCTCCCATCGACTCCAGAACTCCAGCGCTGTGAGAGGCACAAGCGGAGTCAACAGCAGAGTGGCGGCAGTCGACTCACCGCTGTGAAGATGCCACGGTAAGTCGATCTAGGTATGTCGACTTCAGCTATGCTGTTCTCATAGCTGAAGTTGCGTACCTTACATCGACCATCCCCCTAGTGTAGACCAGGGCTAAGATCAAAAGTATCAACTGAGAAGCTCTAGAACTAATTTTTAGGTGTCCAGGACCTGGTTTTTCTTAGCAAACTTAATTCTGGCATTTTCTAACTTTTGAGTACGTTGCAACTTTAATAATGTTCTTTTAATGTAGGGGTTTTTAAAGTGTAATTTCCTAGGTTTTTTGTTTTTGTTTTAAAGCAAGCTGGTGAAACAGAAATTCAGTCATGAACCATCGTATTGACACCCCCATGGGTTATCAGCAAGGTTGGAACTTTTAAATCCTCTGCCACTTGAGCTCACTGAGCAACTTATAGCGGTAGTACGTTGTCATCCTTTGTGTGGACCAGGTTAGAGGGGGATGAGACATATGCTTTGCCAGTGGGTTGCGCGCACATTTTCTGATATCAGGATTGGTGAAGCTTGGGTGTCTTGGTTCCACACTAGGTTCTGGAGGGGAGTGTGGTCTAGTGGTCACATTTCTGCCTCTGTTCCCCCGAGCCGGACCCTTTCTGCCCTGTCCCCTCCAGACAGTCCCTGTCTCAATCATCTCTGCCTGCCCCCCTTACCCCTTAGCTTCTTGTCTCTTTGCCTAGCCAGTCCTAGTCTCCACCCCCATCTCGGATTTCACATCTTAATACCGATTTCCCTCACTAGCTCATTGTCCCAATCTATTCCCTCACCTTCTTCCCTACCATGTCTGGCTCTTGTCCCTTCTGCATTCAAGTCAGGGTGCATTCTCCTCCAGAGTCCCTGGGGACCAGAAGCGGGAGCATTGAAAGCACAGAAGAGACAGTCTCTCTGACAAATTTCTGACAAATTCTACAGAGAATGTGCAATTATTTGTGGTTTACAGCATGGCCAGATTCTGGCTCTTTTGCTGCATGGGAACAGCAAAAGGCAAATGACTGACGCCAGGGCAATGCTTTCTGCCAAATTTCAGTCCTTTGCCCCAAAGCACGGAGGTTCTAGAGCTTCTCAGCTGAATGGTTATGAGAATTTTTTAATGTAGGAAAAACAATGTATTTTTCTCTGTCACTGAAATCACCTCTGATCTTTGAAGTTGTATTCAATACCTGAAGCAAAATTCAGCTTGCATGGTAGTAGTGATTGTTGACTATTATCCCTTCTAGTCTACTGTTGTCTCATCAAGCACTGATTCATCTTCTTACATGATCCTTCTTACTGAGTTAGAGACTTGTTAGGGCTTCAGTAGATTTTATAAGGGTAAAGAATGGAGAGGGTGGTGGATAGTTGCAATATGTTAGTAAGAAACATGAAGTGGTGAGTAGAGATGCCTAGTTTGAAATAGCAGGCATTATTGAGTCTGTCTGGATTCAAGTACTGAGAGGAAAAAGAACCGTGAGTCTTTAAAGGAAGCATTAGACAGTGTGGCCTAAGACAGAGCACTTGACTGGGACACAGGAGACCTGGGTTCTATTTCCAACAGGCCTGTGGCAGAGATGGGTAACTTTGAGCAACTCACTTCACTGTTCAGTGCCTCAGTTTCTCCATCTTTAAAAATGCGGGTAAAGGTGCTTATCTTCTTTGTGAAGCACTTTGAGCTCTTCTGATGGAAAAGCACCATATAAGAAACTCATTAGATAAATGCTATTTTTTTATTATTATTAGGTCTAGATAAGTGCAAGTAAGTATTTGTTAAAATGCTTGGGGAGATAGCTAACACCATTAAGCTAGAAGCCACTGGGATAACTGGAGATTTTGAAGCATAATAATTGGGAAAACTTGGTCATGAAATTATGAAGATAAAGGGAGGATTTTTAAAAAAAAATTTATAAGGATCTATTTTTATATCCGCATATGTACTAGAGGGGACATACTTTTGTTGAATAAGGAGGGTACGGTAAGTGAATTTAATCTTAAGGGTAGTTTGAGTAACTAATTGAGCTTTGTTCATTGATTCTAAATTTCAGCTGTACTGTGATTTTTGGTGCAAAACCAGGTAAATTTAAAAATCCAGTGTTAGTAAAATGAGGAATTTAATTAGGAGCATAAATTGGCATTTATAAAGTTATAATATCTACCAATATTTATGTATTTATTTCTGTTTTGGTCTAAAGAAACTCTAGACCAAAGAATGACCACCAAAGTGCTGGGTGCCCTTGATGCACATTTAAGAACACAATGACTCAGAAGTTACAGAACATAAAACCATCAAAAGCAGTAACACTTCTCTATCTTCCCTCACTTCACACATCATTTGGTCACTAAACACATGACCCGTACAGCATGAAACCTCTAGTGCACTCCACTACCTCTGCCATCCACAATGCCTGCTCAAACAGATTGGCTTTGCAAGAGCACCTGGAAAACCAACAAATTGGGGCTATTTCAGAGTTTGAGGGTCAGAGCAGTTCAGAGGAAACTAGCTTTTATGGGAAGCCTGCTGCCAGTAGTCTCCTGCCTTTTATAGTGAGGGGGGAATCAAGATTGAGGGCCTCTGCTGGTTGCAACTGTGGCATTATGATATGGGGGAGGTATTCTCTCAAGTAGATGGCCTCAAACTCTTTAGGGTTTTGTAGGTCAAAACCAACATCTTAGACTCCACTCTGATATGTGGATGAATGGCAACTTGTTTAAGGTATTTGGGAGCAAAAGTAGAGCTCATAAAAATTTTAGGGAGGAATAAACTTTACAGTTTTTAAGAGAGAAATAAGGGAAATGCAAAGGGGTATGCAAAAGAGAAAAATGGAGTTCAAGTGTCTGGGATGCGAAGATCAATAATAAAATATATTTAAAATACTGTATTGGAGTTCAGAGGGTGGCAAAAGGGGGAATCCAGTGAGGCCATTAAGAAGCTGGGAGAGCAAAATGGTCCTTGAGGGTTTCAAGAAGAGACAGCAGCTGTTCCTTTTCTGCAGATATTAGATGTAAGGGTAGTCATGAATGGCAGTTTTTTTTTCTCTTCCTGCTGCAGGAGATGCTGCACCTGTTGCTGATTAGAAAGAATAGCCTTCTCTGTAGGTCCCCCAGTTCATATCTATTGAGGCAGTTGGGAGGGTCGACAGTGTCAACTCATCCTCATATGTACCTCTGTTCATCTCCCTTTGAAAGAGGCCACACAAATCTTGAGAGTGGGCCATCCTCTCAACTCTCTCTCTGCTCTTGTTCCCTCCTTCCATTTAGCTTTCTCACTAATTCCCCTTTCTTCTTCTATCATTTCCCTCTGTGCACTGATACCTTCATCAATGCTACAAACAAAATTCTAAAACAGCTGCTGCTTATGTCACAAATCATTTAGTTTATTTGGAAAACTAATTTCAGGTCCATGTGTAAATGCGTTGTGTGTAGGAAAACTCTGCTCCCATGAATGCTGGCAGAAAGTAAATACAAAAGGGGCTATTGTGAAAATGACGCATCAAGATCTAATATTTATTTGAGATATTTGCCACGCTATTTGTGTGGCTATACCGT